CCCCAAAACCCCAAAACCCCAAAACCCCTGATCAGATTAGCAAGATTGAATAGTATTGAAAATTTAATAAATAAAGGTGATCTATTCTGACTAGCTTTGTTTATATTCCAAAACTGACAGAATTAGAATCAGGAAGAGTAAGATATGGCTTGTTCTTTGACTTCTTAATTATCTTGAGAAGATTCTTAATTTTGTATTTTTTCAGTAGTTTTAGTATACTTTGTTCTTCTATTCCAGATTTCCAAACTTTAAAATTCTTAAGAGAATTCTTCAGTGAGGATTCTGATATAGCATTCACGATATTCTCAACTCTTTCAAATGAATCTTCCCAGCAATGGTTAGTCTCAACAGCTCATTCTCATAAAGATAAAGACTGAGTATTATACTGCAATGTTTTATTAAAATTCACACTCTTGGTATTATTCATTCCATTCTTTGATTTAAATGAATACTAATGCAAGGAGATTAATAGAACTGAAATGAAGCCTTGCTTCTTGATTTATAAACTTCCAGTCCCCCATTACTGGCCAAAAGTCTTCTTTATATTCCTGATTAGTTAAATATTTATGAATTCACCTGATAATCTGAGGTAATTGCAAACACTAAGTTAAATTTTATAGTGTGTTAAAACAGTTTTGCTTATTTCAAACTTATTTTAGGCGGTAGCAATAAGATTTTGGCTTTAACAAAGAGCCATGCAACTTTGAGTAAGTCTCTACAGATAGAAAGCTTCTAGATCTCCTTTGAAATAATTTGCATATAAATTATTCTGATATCAATTAGGTGAGATAGGTTATTTATTGAGCATTGATGAAAAATCACCTTTACAATATTTCTGCTTCAGATAATAAATGATTCAAAATTTCGTTTAGATATACTCATTCTGCCGATAAGAATCTCGTAGGTCACATACTGACTGATTTTGTGAATAATCGGAGTAAATTTGCTAAAATTTTGAGTGTCTCTTGAATAAATTTTAGAGTTAACATTTTCTTGAATAGCCCCTCTGAGAACAGAACTTTAGCAACAAATTTCAGGAGGCTCATAGTTGTTCATCTCATCATAATTTCTAGAGCTGCTGGATGATATTTGTAAAAAATTAGAATTGCTCCGACAAACCTTGCGACTGATCTTTTAGAAATAAAGGTTTTATGTATACTCACACATATTCGAAAGGGTTTAGATGCATCCCACGGCTCCATAAATTGGAAATGGTTAAAAATCAAGTTGTTAATGACCTCTCTTGCTTTGCTTACTAGAATTTTACTTAGAATAACCTCATTGTTTGAAATCTCTGGCTGTATATCAGCAGATAGGGGGCGTTCTTTTAGGTATGTTTATTTCCCATATTTAATAATAAATTATTAACTATTGGTTAAGAATCTAGAGGGGTTTTGGGGTTTTGGGGTTTTGGGG